AGCGCAAACAAATAAGCGAAACAAAGGGGGAAAATGAATGCGATTCCAAGAGGTTATGATTCCCATTAGCCAGTTAGTACCAGCCCAAGGTAATCGGTAAAGGAGAATTTATTAGAGGACACTTGCTGTTCATCCACCATCGGAAGTTCTGACAACAAATGCCACGCATCCACGCACTCGAGCCAACCTCCCCACACCCGAAGCAAAGCCAGTTTCAGCCGAGTTTTCATGGCCTCCAAAAGGACACCGCCCCTGCGAAGGAAGGATCCCAGGCCGCATGCCTCCACGTGTGCGTTCATCCGCTCGCTGAGGCCCTTCTCAGCTGCTGAGCCTGCCCTGTTACGGCTGCCAGGACATCGGCCTCCAACACAAAGCGCGCAGTGGCACTTCACACTTGACGCACCTAATGCCCTTGACACACATATCCAGCTCTCTTCAGGCCATCGGCCTGCGAAACGAAGCGCACCTACGCCAACACTGTCTTGCGCTTTGCTCTCGAAGCTGCCCATGCTACGCATGCCTGCTCGATGATTGGGTGGAGCTCAGGGCGCCAGACTCGGACCCGCAGGTTGCGATGGAGCCTCAGGCTCTCCGAAATCTGCAGGCAAGCATTTGCAATGTCACAGAAGCTTGGATAAGTGCGCCATCCACTTCCTTGCCTCAGCTCTGTCGCTCCGATTTCTTCGCCAGCATGAAAGGAGTCTGAGAAGACGGCTACAAGCGTCACACCGGCGATTCGTCTGGAAAGATGGCGTGGGCCTGAGGATACTTCTCGTTCGTTAGCTTGTAGAAGTCCACCTTGTGGGCCCGACGCTGCACCAATAGCACTTCTATCCGCTCTCGGCTCCTGCAACTGAAGCGCGGCCAAAGTGCCTTCAGAAATTGGAGCAACCCAGCATGCCTCGTGGATTGACCACCAAAAAGGGCACGAAGCGCTGGCCGCAATGTCAGAGCAGCCTGCAGTTTTCGGGCTGTTGCATGATCCTGCACAAAGAAGTGCAACTTTGTTGAGGGGTGCCTGACCCAGCGGCGCCACTCGACCAAGTCCAGAGCAGAAACGGCCGCTGCAATCGTACTGCGCATGGGCTGCTGTTGTGGGATGTTTCTCGGGCTTATGCTGGAAATCGCACTACAACTCATTTGTGCAGGGCGACTTCTGTGAAATGCACAATCTCCGCCAGAGTGTTTTTGCAATTGGGCTTGCAAGAAGAAAAATCCTTTTTAGCTTGACCCAAGATGTTGTTCTCGTAGTTTTCCCAAGATTTTGGACCTTATCGTTGGTGTTGTCGCTCTTTCTCGTCTCATTGCCTTTTCAGCTGAAAACCCCCATTTGCACTTTGCAGCTCGCCAGGGTCAGTATACAGCCCCAATTGACATGCTATTGCCTGACCAGAATGAAAGGCGGCGTACGTCCACAGGTCCTTCCTTCTGCCGAGTAAGAACAAGTTTTGTCAAAGGCTTTTGCAAAGCGCAAAACTGTTTTGCAGAGCACGTCGCTTCCAAAAGCCAACATGACGCGTAAAACGTGACTTCTTGCGAAGAGCAGCTTTTTGCTTTTTTGCAACGTAAAAGTCTTGCAGCAACAAAAAACCAGCAGCGATTTTGGAGAGACCACCTAGTTTGGTTCGTAATAAGAAGGAAGCCTTTGAAGCTCTAAACCCAATGGCTTCTCAGCTTTGCCTGAGACTCTGAAGTCACTTGCGACATGATAGCCCAGTTCTGAGCTTCGAGCGACAAAACCAAAGCTTGTTGGAACCACCCTAGCTTGCAATTTTGCGAGTCTTGCGAGCGACACACGTGACAAAAGTGTGCTGGTCAACAAAGACATGTGCAAAAATTAAGTCCTGGAGAAATCAAGCTCGCGAAAAAGCAATTTCTTGCAAAATCAACTCGTGGCTCACACGGATGTATTGTGAAGCAACCTTTCTTCCCATTTTCACATTGAGCATTCCTGCTAATCTGTGTGCCAATTTTGTCCTGGAGCAGATGAAAACACTCGAACTCGAGCTGCGAAACCGCCCGTTGGCCGTCCTCCGTCTTCCGGCCATGCGCCATGCCGGGCAGGGGAAATCCCCACACCTGCACTGGACACGCTGATTTACACGCAACGCCATGGCACGGCCAAGGAAAGGACAGCATCTTCGAACTGAGCCAATCTCCCAAAGATGCCTGCATCAGTGACTGGGATGTAGGTGCAAGCCAATTTGCTGGGCAGGGTTGCCTTCGGACGTTTCAGGACCTTGAGACAGCCATAGCACGGGAAAGTGCGACCTGGGTAGACGCAAGGTCTCCTACGCAACAATACCAGATTTGCTGGGAGTTCCACAGCATAGCAAATAACCTGGCATTCGACAATTTCACAAGACAAACAGTCTGAGCAACCCGTGCGAGGACTTTGCAAGAATGCCAGCTGTACGGACTCAAGTTGCCTCGGCGGCTCCTTGCACCAAGTCCTCCGTGGCTTCCTGCAAACAACGCTATGCTTCAAAGGAGTTCTAAGAGATTCTAAGGTGTTTAACTCGCTCGTTGGATGGTGGCCCTGGCACCTCCATAGCGGAAGCGGCGCGGAACTTTTGAGAAGGGCTCGGCCTGCTTTTTGCGGCATATTCGTCCGCACTGACTGAACATCATCCTTGAAACTTGAGCCTCGTCATCATCTGCGAGAAGCAGCATCACCTTCTCCGGCCCTCCCAAAAGATGATGCACCAATAGCATCGCACCTGTCGAAGATTCTGAAAAGCCCCACGCTCGGGAAGCAGGTCCCTCTGAAAACTCAGAGAGCAAGTGGAAACGCCGTCCCCTGTCAAACCTGCCTGGATGACCCTGGATGACCATTGAGACATGCCATACGCTGCTCAGCTGCACTGAACAATATTGAAAAAATGTTGCTCCCAAGAGACTTTCCGCTAAAGATGTGCAAAGATGGTCATGAATGGATATCTTGACAAGGAGCATTACGCAAGCCTTGCAAACTTTTGCTGAGAAGCTTTGTTGCGTAAGCCGACCCTGACCGAAACTCCAACGCGCTACAGCGTAGTCGACATCCTTCAAGATCCACGCCACTGTATTTACAAATTAAACAAGAGCCTCAATTCGCACTCCCATGATTTCATGAAGAGGGTTGCAAGAGCAGGGCCTCGCAGCGAATGTCCATCCAGAGCTTCTAAAGTCAGACTGCCAAAAAGCTGGCCAACAATAGAACACAACCCTGTTTGGATATCCGTGACGAATCTAAAGGCAACGTGAGCTACAGTGTGAACTCCTCTTATCGCCATGAGTATCCCCTGCTATAATAATCCCCTCTATATAATCCCATATATAACTCCCTTTAAAACCTTTCAGGAGTTTAGACTATAGCTCTATTACCATTACTATTTCGGATACTGTTACTGGTACTAGTACTATGACGATTACGATTACTTGTACTGGCCACATTACTATTATGTATTCATGATACCTGGACTGCTACCCGGATCCACTAATAGCCAAGCCTCCCAGCCACGTCCTCAAGGCCACAGAGATATGCGAAGACCTGATTTGGGAAAAAAGGGGGATGCGTTGAGGGTATATGGGGATATATAGGGCAATACGAGGGTTTAAGGGATATAGGGAGACATATTTGGGGGTTACCCAAAATAAGGGGTAATCGGGATATTCAATTGGAATAACGGAAAGGAACATGGAAACTACAATGTACAATCTAAGGTAATCGGGACATTTAATGGGAATAATGGAAAGAACAGGGGAACGACTATTTTGGGTTTCAGGTTTAAGGGTGAGGCTTGTGAAGACCTGACGTAAGATTGGACATTTCCGCGCACCTGCACTGAGAAGAATGTAGAAGAACTATTTTCCACGAAGTCATGCAGCGGTCATCCCCGGCACAAACTTTTCCGAAGCGCTGCCTGTCCTCAGACATGCCCCTACTCAGTCCATCTCTTCCAGCCGTAGAAGCTCTTCAGGGCGTGGCCTCATAGGCCGCGCAGTCCACTGCAGGTTTGCTGATTTCTCATCCTTGTCTAGGCCGAGGGTCATCTTCGTGAGAGGGAGACATCGCTGCTCCTGAAGCGCAACTCACCAAAGGATCTCTTGACGAGAATCTGGAGACGGGCACCTGGTGTAGGTCTGCCAGCGCTTCTCCTCACCGTAATGCAACCATCACCGAGCTGCAACATGTCAGCAACTGGGCAATGCCTGCCCCGCTTGTGCCATCCATTTCTGCCGCTGCATCTCCTGCACAAAAACTGGTACAAAAGGCGGTGTTATCACACATCAGCCGCTGAGAATATGCATCTCTCCATGTAACCGCTGCAGCGGGGGAAAATATGCGTCACTGGGGAAATTCTACATCACGGGATGCACATCTCCAGGGAGATGATGTCATGTTTTGAAGAGCCAGAGGCCTCTTCGTGGCAGATGCCACGCTTGCAGTACGTCTCACATGCATTTTGGCCACCCTACATCAGCAAATCCCCAACGAGACGCTGTGTTTGGAAGAACCGGAAAGAGTGTGCGCCTACAGGGGATTTTGCGGCAGGAGCCTGCGAGCAGAAATACTGATTTCGCAACACCCTTTCAATGAACAAACCATTAGTAGAACCCAAGATGTCATGCTAAAAACCATGAAAAGTGCATGTGCCTGCTGTCATACAGTAAACAACATGTTCATCATTATGTTGTTAAGCACTCGCCGAGCCCAAGACATGGCTTCACCAAGTAAACGCCCAATTGGCACATACGAAAACCAGGGGGATGCAAGATAACCTCACCTCTAGTACCTGTCGGAGTGAAGTAGCTGCAGGTTGCAGGCTTGATATGTTGCGCAGCTGTTTGCTGGATGATGGCAGCTACAAACCAGGTTGCACTGTATGAGAAGCCCTTCCTGAAGAGGGTTGGGTCTGCTCGCTTCGGCTGGTCTGCGTCTTTGGGTCATGCCCAGTAGCAGCAATCGCCATTTGAGCCTCTCTCACTGCCACACCATGGTTTGAACTGCAACGGTGTCGTCACTATCTGGCGGCCTGCATCAGAAAGCCATCAGCGGCTTCCTGACGGACATGAAACGTCACAACATCAAGTTGTGGTGTATTATGGCCTGCTTCCGATGGTCTTGCAGCAGACCTGGTGCATTCCAAGTATGTTGCTGGAATCCTCTGGCCGCACGGAGTTCCGAAAACCATGGCCGGAAACAGCTTGGTAAATGATAGCAGCCAAGCGTCCACATAAGTTTCGAGCCTTGGCGGCATCATCGCGGGCTCCAACGGAATCGCCAAGCTTGAGCCGCGCCCTCGCACGACAGAGCAGCGCGTCTGCGGCATCGCGGTGGACCACGCTTCCTGAGATTGTTGTCAGGGCCCTTCATGGCTCAGTGACTGCCGCACGTTCTAAGCACTTTTTCTTCTGGTTGCTGCCTTGGCTCCTTCATGCTGCACGGACGCCTTTCGCCAGGGAGCCAGTCAACAGCGGAGCACCGAGCAGGGTTAGAACAACAGCAAATTCCACAGAAAGCAGGCAGCTGCCTCAGAAGGTAAGATCCCTAGCTGCGCAAGCTGCTGGCAGCCCTCGTCATCTGCGGGAAGGATTGCCGCCTCTAAATCGCACAGTTTCAGTCAGCTCGCGGGGCCAATCCAACAAGGTTGCCTCGAGAGCTTTGCTCGAGCGGGCCTCCGCCTGCAGATGTTTTCACGACCCAGCAAGGCATTGCCTGGTGAAGCGCCTCTGGCCAATCCTTGGCTCCACTGACTCCCGCTTTCCTTGAAACATCTAAGGCCAGCCAAGCATCTCCCAGCAAAGAGAAGGTTTTCGCAGCCATCAGCTGAATGCTTAGCGCCTCCACTCTCAGGTCCACGGCCTCAAGAATTTGGCTAATCTCTTCACGTCCGGCAATTTGAAATTTGTGACACTGGCCCTTGCAGCTGCGTTGCCTGTAGTGCCGACTCGGTACTTGCATCCTGCTGAGCGCCAGTGCGTCAGAAGGACAACAGGTGCAAGCACCCTGAAGTTCAGTTGGGCTTGTGCACTCACATTTCCCTGTGTGAGCTCAGTTGCGGGAGCCTTCGATTCACCGACACTCTTCACTCTTCGCTGGTCTTCACCAAGTATGGATGCAAATCGCATCGTTGCTGAAAACTGCCGTGGCAGGTAAACCCTGAGCAGACGTGCGAGCTCATCTGTGAGTTTGCCAAAGGTACCGTTCCACAAATGTGGAACCCGAAAGCAAAATGGTAGACAATGGTAGCCCAAATTCAGGGGGCCTATGAATCCGTATGTAACCTTGAAAGCTCTGCTTGAAAGAGTCTCAAGCAATTCTAGGTCCTGCAGCGACAGCAGGATGTTTCTTGCATCATCATAAAGCCCTGGGCCACACAGGTTTGTAGGTGCGCAGCAAGACTTGCCATGCTTCAAGCCCCAGACTGACAGCATCGGTCAGGCTGCCACTAGCAGCCTCACGGTCTGCCTTCAGCTTCCTGCTGCGCACAGCTGCGAGCACTTTCGCCTGGCAAGAAGAACGTCTCTCTCTCTCACACGACTAGAAGTTCATGCGCAGCCTTGGCATCATCAAATCCCACTCCTTCCTCAGGATTGCCTGAGCTCCACGAATTCAAGGTGCTTGAAGTGCTACAGCAAATGTTGTCAAGCTCTGTCTGCGTGAGAGGCGCTGCCCTCTGCAACATCCAAGTTGTCAAACCGTCCATAATCCAGTGGCATGCTCGGTCATGTCACGGCCCCGGGCGCGAAGACGACATGCCATCCCCACCCAGTTGGGTAAAGACAAATGAAGTTCTGGTTAACAGCTGGCGACTAGGCCATAGGTCCATAGGTTATTGATGTGAGCATCTCTGCCGCAGCTATGCTGCTATGTCGCTTGTGACGCTAAGTTCCCAAGGCTGCATCAGGGATGTCCACGAAGACGCACAATCACAGCAGAGATTCCATTGCGCAGTTGCTTATTTGCTGTGTGCCGGGCATATCTGCCAACGGCAAAACAAGAAGCGTGCTGTTGTGCACCCGGTGTTGGGACCTGACTTTCATGCCGACAACAGATTGCGGTAAGCATTTCGCAAATCATGCTTTCTTGGCCTAGGCAGGACAGGGTGAACGCGGTATCGAACCGCCGAGTGGCAGGCCTTCCGGACATGTTGTGCAAAAGACCTACCTTTCTGTCTATTCCGTTTCTGCCAGGCCTGCAGAACTGGCATCCACCGAAACAACCCAGCACCCACCTTTCAGTTTACATTGAAGGCTCACGCTTCAGCTCGAAGCTGCGTAACCAAGTGCCTGAAGCTTGCCTTTGCTCAGCTGGACTTGACCAAGCTTCACAGGGCAATTCTTCCAGCCTTCTTGGCACAGGCTGATTGAGCTCCACGAACCCAATCCCGCCTTCAACTTGATCTGGCTGCACTTCTGGCAGCCACGGTACAGTGGCATCTGACATCAGTGGTCTTGGGCGAACCTGAGATTGGCGATGCAGGGCTCCTCAACCAGGTGACATGGCACAAAGCGCCTGCGTCTCCCAAATCTGTTTGCTGCTCAAAGCTCGAGTGAAAGCTTTCCTTGCGAGCGAAGGTTCCTTTACAGTACTGGTAGCTGGCAGGAGCGGAGGCCTGACAGAGGCCATCGAGGTGGATTCGTCTGTTGCCACCTTGAGCCAGTTCACCAGACGAGGACCAGGCGCCCTACGAATGTCCTCTGAGGCAAGTGCTGCCATTGCCTTCACGGCCCAGTCTATCGCGCGGTACAGATTGTGCCACCTCGACCACTGCATGAGGCAAGATCGACACTGCACGGGGTCAGCCCAAGACATGCACAAGTCATCCAGAGTAAATGGGAACGGCCTTCTGGTAGCAAGATGCAGCAAGGTAAGGCGCAGTTCTGTGATTGGGCAGGCTTGGGCGGCGACCAGTCCCCACTGCATCCAGCGCAAAGGAGTATCAGCATGCCAGCCTAAAGAAGTCGATGTAAGCACCAAGGACAAAGCAGCATGAGATAGCTCGCGCCTGCTGCAGCATGCGAGCAGAAGTGAAGAGCTGCCAAGCCTGCCTATGCTGAGCATGGCAGTAGGTCAGATCGGCCACCTGTGAGATTCCAGACATCCTTAACAAAAGTGGAGATATGCGAGACTCCTATGCGTACTTCCGAGACCCAGGTGCCTGGTGATAAGCGCAGGAAGAGTCGTTCAGCGCCTGAGCTGTATCTCCTCTGTCGGCTTGGCTTTCTATTGCTGTTGTTTCCCTCCAGGCCGCTGGCTGTCCACAGCAGCCTGGCCACTCTCGTCTTTGCAGAGTTTGCGAACGCAATCAGCAGCACATCCCAATCATTTCTCAGCTCAAAACCAGTAGACCTCCAGTTAAGCACAATAACGTCAGGAGTGCTTCACTTCTTCGTCCAGACTGATTCTGGCCGCGTTCTCTCGCGCAATCTCGTCACCTGCGCTTCATTTTATTGCGCAGATGTTCACATTCATGAGGCTCAGCAAAGGTCCGCACAGTAGGGGAAAGGAGCAACAACAGCCGCGGTATGAATGGGCACCTCAGGGTTTTGCCACTGAATCAATAAAGTCATGAGCAAGCAAAGTATAGCCGCATCTAGTTTGTGAAGACTTCCACTGGCTCTTTACGTTGAACTTTCTTTGTATCTGAGTAGCCTGGTGCTCATGCTGACTCTCCACAGCATCCAGCATAGCCGCTGCACGCGACCAGAGCTGATTTCTCATGTCTTGGATGGCATCGAAACGAGCGTCAGCTGGGCAAAGAGAATGTGGCAATCCATCATCAAGATTCTGTGCTGCATCTTGGTGAGGACAAGTTGCATCAACACAGCACACATCACAGCGCCCGAAGTCATGTCGGTGTTCTGAAAGTAAACTTCGTAGCTTGCCAACAACTCTTTTCTCGGCCAAGTGAATGATGATGCATTGCTGGGCTTCCATCACTGTCATTCCGGGCACATCCTGGTGGGACATGATGCTGCTGAGCCAGCCAGCGTGGAGGACGAAATGCCGAAGAATATCAGGCACATTGGCCAGGATTTGGGGAAGCTGGCGTGCCGAGGATGAATGCAGCGCTGCGTCTACCCAGAAGAGCTGGACAAGAATAGCAAGCGGCGCACAGTCGTTCCAGAGCACAGCTTGTAGATTTTCAGAGATCGAGAGTAGTGCTACGGCAGCCGGCAGCTCCAGGCAATGGTCCCGATAAACACAAGCCAGGGCCTCGCCTTCTGGTTCCGGAATTCGTTGACAGCGGCCAGGGGGCCAGCCCAACGGTCGCAGCCAATTCTTCCAACAGTCATGGAAAAGGGTGCTCTCCTTTAAGTTCGATGAAGAGATTGCGCGGAGGTCGTCGCAACAGGCATTGCTCAGTTCGCCCGGCTCGCATCGGTCCAGCTGCAGCAGGCCTGCAGGAAAGAAGCATGATTGCTCTGGAAATCAGTGATCATGCCGAGCAAGCATCGTGCGGTGCTGAAGTCTGCTTCTGCCAATGTTGTACTTGCAACCGAAGACTACAGCAGAGTTCCCAGGCCTGTGCTCCAGCAGTGTCGAAGCGGATCACCCAGGTCTACAGACCAGCCGGAAACTTGAACGCCGTGGTATCCAGTCAACAACAAGCATGCCAGCATTTGCAGTTCCTGCTCGGCAGCAGCCAGAACGCATGATACAGCCGACCATATTGATCTACACGGGCACTTCGAGTTGCGCACGCGGAATTCTACATGCACCTGAAAGCACGGCAACGAGCCACTGCAGCGGCCACGGACTGAGCAAGCATTTCATGCATAGAACTTGAACAAACTATCATGTCACCAAGACTGTTACTATTCGATATCGCGGCACCTAATGTGCTCTAAAAAACCAGCGCACGTACAGGAGCCTCATTAACTGTTGGCCGGCAATCCTCAACGTTATTATGTCACAATAGGGTGCATTCTGGACGGAGTAGTCGGCCGTTGCGCAGGTGACCCGCAGATCGGCATTGGGTTGGATCTCAGAGGGTTTAAGCTCAAATACTGCAGTCAATTGCTCACTCAGAGACACACACAAGAATCCTGAGGGCCTGTCACCAATACCGAATCTGTGCATGTTCTCCTTTCATCAGCACAGTTATTGCAGCCAGGCTGCAATGAACCAACATGGGTTGAATGGCCGTCGGTTCGCATGCCATTGCTACGCAACTGTTTTGATGTTGGCCTGAGGCCTCAAGGCGACTCCTGTGGGCTTTCCAAGATGCTATTTCAAGTCCCACTCGCTCGCACTGCGAGTTGCAGGCAAACTAGGCTTACATGTGTGCATGGTTCGTCCAGAGAAAGAAACCTGCAACTGGCTCAAGATCTTCTTCGGTGCAATCGTAGCTGATCCTGCTCTTGCCCTTGAGCAAAGATAGACCACAGGAAGAAAAAACGCCTCAAATTGCTTAGTCCATCTGGCACTAGTTTCGTGAGTTGAGAAAAAGAATCAACCCAAAAAAGACAAGCATGTGCCATCCTCCCCTTAGAGCGCTGAGACACTTTTCAAACTTTGGTCTCCTACCATGAGCATGAAGAGAAGTCTTTAAGGCACCCCCAACGATCTCTCAGCAACTGCCAATTGACAGGACGAGGCGGTCGCGGTTCAAAAGAAACTTGTCAGGCTCCTCTGTGACCCACTCGCCGGCACTGCTTCCATCTTCGCTCAGCTCCCCGTCCTGGCGATGTGGCGCCATGCTTGTTGACAGATTTTGGCATACCCAGGCAGCAATCCCAGCAAGAGATTGGTTCCTCCCCTTCTGGTTCTTCACCGGGATCCTTCAACCAAACTCGCGAAGTCTCAAAAAGCCTCCAAGTCTTTCAAGAAAGCAGAAGACGAGGCCTCCGGCGCATGAACATCTTGCCTCGGCATCACGATCTGATTCTCCAAGGCTAATATTATTACTATTCTTTGCGCTACTACGGATCGAATGAATGCACAGGAACGGAGTAGGGATGGCGAAAGGCAAGCGAGCAGCTGCGTACATACAACACACAGCAAGATTTATAAAATGGTTCTTTCACACCAACTGCGTCAAAGCTGCTCACTCTCGACCTGCAGGACACTTTTGCTTTGCTGTGGCGCATCCGCTTCCGCTGCTGTCCTTCCCGATACAATGCATGTCATGCAAAGCGGGAATGCAAACTGGCTCTGCCAGCGCTGCCAAGTCTCTCTGCCGGAGCTTCTTGGCCTTTGGCCTCTTCTGTCGCAGCCTGGCACGGATATTGTCAAAGGGCTATGCAAAAACCAGACCTTCTGCAAAGCGAGCCTCCTCTGGAGGCTTCTCAGGCTCCGAAGCGTTCCTGCGGGCTTCTGCCTTGGCCTGGGCATTGCGCATTTACATCCCTGCTCCAACTCCAAGTGCTGTGTTCGGAGGGCGCACCAAAGACGCCCGGGTACTGCGACCACGAGAGGCCACTGCCCAGCCGTCGTTGCCTGCACGTGCTCAAGACCAAACACGACCAAACAGTTTTGCTGCAGCAGTGGGCATTTCGCGCCTTCCGCATCCTCAGCTGCTTTAGGAGGCTCCGGAGCACTGCCTCTTCACAGGCGCAGGGGGTTGGCGCTAGCTGGGTCTCCCACTTCATTGCTCCAGTCTCAACAAAAGCTCTGCGAGGACCGCATACCACTATGGGTTCCCCAACAGCTCCAAAAAAGTTCATTACGCTTCGCCAGTCAAGCAATGGCTCTCACGGAGGGCCTGCATCCG